AAAGATAACAAAAGAAGTGCATTATATAACAAAAAGAATTAGTGCCAGAAAAAGTATATTTATAAAATGTATAATAGACAAACTTTTAACTCTAGAAGAACTCAACAAAAGAAAATCAGATATGTATACAATAACCAAATGTCAAGTGTGCAAAAATAAAGTTAAAGAAACACAGATGCATTTAGTAGCATGCAAAGAACAAAGAAACTTATAAAAAAGAATACAAAAAGTGACTATTGCAACAGCCTATAAGGGACTTAGTGAAGAGAAAAAAGTCTGAATCCTGCCATATATGTTATATACAGTACTTTTTAATAAAACAGAAACAGAAGAAATAAGAATGAGAGAGACTCTAATTAAAGGTCTGATTTTAAAAGAAACACAAGATAGATTATGTCAGCTCCTAAACATAAAGTTAAGATAGCAGTTTGCAAATGTAATAGCAAATATGGTCTAGAATACATTTTACAAACAAGTATAAAGAATCTAATATGAGAAGATTAGTAAATAAAAAAGGAAAGTAGGAATAACGGGTAGAGTAAAAATAGGAGAAAAAAAAAAAGATGAGATTATATAAAAGAAAAAAGGCAAATTAGTAAAAAATAAAAGAAAAGAAAGAGAAAATAAGAAAAAAAGAAAAACAAATTAGAACAGAAACATAGAAGACAATTTTGGAACTTGTCATAGAAGGGAGAAGACCCTTCTATTATAGACTTTAAGTAGTTAAACAAATAGCTTACTTCTGCTTAAAGTAATGTGACAGGTTGCACTTAGGTACTATTAAGATGATCAGGTGATGCTAGACTTAGTTGTTAAGAATATTTATGTAATTGCAAATATAATTTCAAAATCTTAATAAAGTACTAGCATGGTTAAGGAAAAAAAAAATTCTAGCTTATATATTATATACAACACAATTCAAAAAGATAAAGTCAAAAAAAATAAAAATAAAAAATTATTAATTAAAAATCTAATTCTAAAAGCAATACAAAATAAGTTAGTATAACTTTTAAATACAAAGAAAAAATAACAGTTTGTAAGTATAATAATAAAAATAATCTAAAACATATTTTATAAACAAGTTTAGAAAATGGAAATTATAATTTGGTGCATCTATTACATTTTAGAGTAAATATATTAGCACATAACAGATTTTTTAGTTGAATTACATAACTTTGTATAATACATAGAACTTTGTGTAATAGCATAATATATATTTGTTATATAAATTATATATTGTATATAAATTAGGTATATTTATTTGTATTATATAAGGAGTGCATTATAGTGCAGGTGTACTATTTTAAAAAATCTGTATAAAATACAGTATAAAAAAATTAATAAATAGAAAAAATAAATAAGTATAATAGACAAATTAAAATAATGAATTCAAAAAAAGAAGAAAAATATAAGCCAAAAAAAAAACTAATTAGTAATTATTAGAAAAAAAAAAGAAAATATGTATGCAGTAACTTAGTAAAATAGTCAAATTGTTAGCCTTTCAAGTAATAGGTTAGGTGTTCAAATCTTATCAATAGTGAAAAATTTAGATAATCATCTATATAATACTTATATTATGACAATTGTTATTAATAATTAGGTTAAAATATCTGTAATAACAATCACACTAGTATGACTGATAGGTCATAGGATATATCTGTATAAGTATGACATTATACAGAGAAATACAAACTAATAATCAGATGATATAAACATTAAATAAGTTCTTGTGACTGTATAAATCTATTAAAATTAGATAATAAGAAGTTTATTTAAAAAGATTTGAGTAAAGAGATAATCAAATTTTTAATGATTCTATTGTAATGATTAGTTTTATGAAATAAATATTAATATTATAGTATCTGAACAAACAAGAACCTTTAGGTTGAAAGTCTTGAAGGTATTACCAACTAGGTTACTGAAATGAACTAGAAGAAAAGAATATTAGATTAATCTGATATACTTATAAACTGGTTATAATCCTATATGGACTATTTGAATTAGAAATCTGATAAAAAAACAGATATACTAAAGTATTTCAAATATACTGTAAAATAGATACTAAGGTTTATATGAACTTTATAAGAATACAGTGTTTTAATGATTAAGTCTTGATCACAAATGTTAATTCTATCATAGTGATACCAGATTAACTATAAAAATAGGTACAGAAGACTTCAAGAGGTTTATCTCAAAGATAAAATAATCCTAAGATTGAAATAATAATCTAAACATCTAAGAACAATCTAATGATATTAATACAGATTGCAAGTTTAAAGAGTTTAAAATAAAATATCCAAGCAAAGATATTAGATACAGTAATTAGTAAGAAACCTTCAGACAGACTCTTTAAATAGATAATATAGAAAAATTACATATATAACTAATTGTATGCTCTTCTGTAGTAGTTCATAAAATCACATCATCAAAAAATCATTAATAAAAGTCAAAAGATCAAAGAGATCATCTTAACATCAAAAAAAAAAGACAAAAAAAAAAAAACCAAATTAAAGATGAAACTAGAAAAATAATATGAAGACTTGTCATAAAAGAGAGAATACCCTTTTATTATAAACTTTAAATAGTTAAACAAGTAGCTTACTTCTGCTTGAAGTAATGTAACAAGTTGCACTTAGATGCTATTAGAATGATCAGATAATGTTAGGCTTAGTTGTTAGATACATCTATGTAATTGCAAAAGTTTCAAAAATCTTAATAAAACATTAGTATGACTACTTAAGAAAAAAAAAAACTAATTAATTTTAACTTAATGTACTAAGTAAACTTATTTAACACAAAAAAACATACGCATATATATTTAGACTCAAACTAGTTTGCAAAACTCAAAAAGTTTGAAAAAAGAATTTAAGTCTGGTTCAAAAATTAAACTAGACTCAAACTTGACTAAAAGTCCAGTTTAATAAGAGCATTAAGTATTAGCAATTTTGAATGATCTATTTTAAATATGGAAACAAGCAAATGTTTAAAAATACATGGTACAATAGATATATATTTTTTTATGTATTATTAGATAATATTGGTAATCTATAAAGACAACAGATTTTTTAATTATCTTATTTATAAATAAGTAATTGAACATATTAGACCTGGACTATGTTCAGGTATATGTCCAAGTCCAGTCCAAGAGTATTAAAAATAGTTGAACATATGTCCAGTGCCAACATTGGTCATAGGCTTATAAATATTATTTCACAAACATGCATGTCTGGAAATTATATATATAATATTTTAAAACCGTCAACGAAGTGACGGGTTATATCTAGTAATTCTGATAAATTGACATTTATTTGGAATTCTTTACACGAATTTATAAAACTAGTTTGCGTGTATTTAATTGAATACGTTAGGAGACTGCAATTCAAATTAGATATATCGATATAGATATTCATAAACATTGATAATATAACTGCATTTTTAGAATCGAATTACGAAGATTAAAGGTTAGGAAGTTTTAGATATCTTTAAAAAGCTATCTCATCTAATTTTGTTTGCAAAAAATTACATTGGTACACTGGACAAAGTTATGTCCAAAGTAATGTCCACGATCATGAATATGATTAATCTGGTAGTTATTTCATAATGATAACGATTTAAAAGAGGAATCCTCAAACCATTTTTACTTTGTAGAAAATGGTAATTCATGTAAGGATGTAAAAGTTTTTTTATTACCGTTACGTAATTAAATATATCAATATCAAATCTATATTTAACTATTCATGGTCATTGTCATGTAGATGTAGTCGTGATATAAAAGTATGTAATATTATGGTCAGCATAGTTTTGAGGTATATTTGCTACAAAGGTCAGGTCATTGTCAAAAGAGTTAGAGTTTGTAACCGGATTCGACCTTTTGATTCGAATACAAATTCGTAACAGTGATTAGATTTAAAGTTCAATGATTAGGCTTTACGACTTGTACGATATGATTATGTCTGCGAAAACTAAAAAATATACCGTATTCCGTTTGCCAAAGTACCCCTCATGTATTATATCCCATCTTAAAAATTGTATAATGCTATGAATATTTAAGTTTCAAAATGTTAATTTGTGAAATATCCGGGTAAATATATTGGTACAAATTGTAGTAATAACCACTATTGTCGCGGATCATAATGAAATCGGATTAAAATGAAAAGAAGGATTTCTATTTTACAATACCTGCCTATGTAACGTAAAGTACCCGGAGGAACACATTAAAACGCCGAAATTTGTAAAAGACCCGGCGACGGAATACGGTACTAATTTAAATTTTATATCTAAAATTTGAGAATTGATATTTCCACACTCTTGATATTGCCACACCCCTGCTAATTCAAATCCTAACCAAAACCCTAATAATTTATATGTATTGATTTTTATTAACAGGCAATATCAAAAAAAGGTGTGGAAATATCAATTTATTCTATAGTATCATTTTTTTAGAAAATTTGGTTCTTAGATATCTTTATAATTCTATTAATTTGATATGAACCATACTAACACGAATAACTAAAACCATAATTCAAATATGCAAACTGAAATGAATTTAATACCATAAAAATTTTCTAAAATTAAAAACTTGAATTTGCTAAAATGATTTTTATTATGTCTACGATAATATAAGGTCTTTTATTAATTTTAATCACCAAATTTGTTATAAATTGTTATATTTTGATCATATTTAATACATAAAATTGTTATATACGTATTAATTTTAATTTAAAATCATTATCATTTCAAATTCACAATAATTTTAGTTTAATGGTTAGAATAATAAATTATTATATTTTGCCATTAATTCTTAAAATGGTTTAATCATTTATTACACAAAAGATACCAATAGAATGTCGATTTTGACATAGGCTAAAATATGATAAATAAAAATATCCTATTGTTAAGTTTCGAGCATAGGGGTGTTTACCTTGTCAATAATCCAAAATTCAATTTTTAACACTATTTTTTACAACAATTTAGACCCATAACGCACTTTCATGAAAATTTCACATAATATCCATAGCACCTGCACCACTTAAGTCTCGTTCAAGATCTTCGCTCATGCCAATACCTTTATGAAGACCCGGTGGAACATAATGAGCAACAAGCGCGTCAACATCGCCACGAACTGCAGTGGGCGAATTTAGAATAGTATCACGGTCAGGAATTTTGGTTAAGCTAGCTGAACTGTTTTGTCTATTTGCAAGATTAAGATGGGGTACATGATGACGTCGTACTGAAGCACGGAAATTGGCTACTTCCTTAACAATAATTGCTGATCGCATAAGACATAAAATAAAGTTGGTAAATATTCAAAAAGAAATATATAGATAATGTCGTAATGTTTAGTAAATAATATACCTTTCATTTGCTGAGGATCATCAATCGATTCAAATGAAGAGAAATCAAAGGGCTCAGGACATACAGACTAATTCCATAATCATAATGGTAACATAGAAAAGTGTTGGTTAGTCACTTCTTAAAATTTTTTAAAATAAAAATAATATCAAAAATATTAATTGTAATATTAAAAATTGAGCAAACCTCATCGTTAGGTTCGTGCCATACTGCTAAATAAGGATGTTCTAATGCTTCTTCGACAGTTATACGTTGAGCAGGATCAAATGTCAATAGACGTTCTAATAAATCAATTGCTATATATTAAACAATTAAATGAGTATCAGTAGCAATGTTAGTGCAAGTATTGAATATAAAAATTTTAGACCTGAAAGTTTCATACCACACACCTAAAGTATTTGCATTAGGAAATATTTTAGAAAATGGTCTTTTTTGCATACGAGGCAAATTACGAATATATTCTTGTGCCTTGAAAGAAAAAACAGTTGAGATAAGTATCAATTAAGTATCAATACAATAAAGTAATTTTGGTTTATATATATATTATAACTTACCCTTGTACTCCCTATTCTTGATAGGGTAAGATCACTGGGAGTTCCCAAAGTTTGAAGGATTTGATTTAATTGATCGACATCTATATAGTATTAGCAATTTAAAGCTTTCATTAAGGATAAATGAGTAAAAGAAAAAATTACAAACTTATTTGACACGTTAATAAATTTAATTTCAAAATTCATAAAGAAAAAAGAAGGATACAATCTCTTCCTTTGAATATTGGCCTTCCGCCTAATAATTCGGCCAAGATACATCCTACAGACCATAGATCAACTAAGGAATTGATTGAAAGAAATGATATAGTTAAATAATCTATAAGTCATAAAGTGGTTAAAATGGCGATATATGACAAATACCCACTAGCTTTGGTGTAACTTTGAAAGCTGAGCATGATTTCAGGAGCTCTATACCACCTTGTGGCAACGTATTCTGTCATGAACCCAGAATTTGCAGCAGGATCTTCTGAAAAGCCGCGTGCGAGACCGAAGTCACAGATTTTGAGCTCGCAATCAGCATTAACAAGAAGGTTTCCTATGAAATATTAAAAATTTATTGATAAATTTTGATTAAATATTAGAATAGTAAAACTTTTTAATACAAACCAGGTTTCAAATCTCTATGTAATACATTTGCTGAATGGATATACTTTAATCCACACAATATCTGATAAGTAAAGCTTTGATAATGAGCATCCGTAAGTGGTTGGCCAGAACGGATAATAGCATGAAGATCAGCCTCCATTAATTCTTCGTATAGATATCTTGTTAAAGTTGAAATAGGTTATTTTTTAAAAGGTTTATAGGTTTAATTCGGAACGAAAAAAAAGGAAAAAATACATTAGCTTATTTACATTTCATTAAAATCTTGAGGATTAATTATATCCATATCATACAGACATGTGATCTATCGGGGACAAAATGAAGATTGGGAAATAATTAATGATTAGATGAAGGATTACGTATATCACAACAATTACTTACATTTTTATGGCCTCTAAAGTGTTGTAACAACTTCACTTCACGAAGAGCACGCTTTGTTAAGATGGTTTTACTGAAAACATTGGTAACCTTTTTGATTGCAACACCTTCACCAGTAATTGTATTACGTGCAGCACTAGAATAAAAATTCAAAAATAAGCCCACCAAGAGAAATTTACAAAAACCCAGACAAGTAAACGGAGTTGTAATATAAAGAGATAGATCGCCGAAATGAAAATAAAATATTCGAGAGGCGGTTAATAAGTGTATGAGGCATTAAAGTTATTGGTAAAACAATTGGACTTTGAAATCGGACAGAATGCACAAAGCAGTTCGTGTTTATGAACAAATAAAAAGCCAGAATTATTACCAAACAACACCATACGCTCCTTGACCTAGTTCTCGAACAAATTGATATTTATCGTCAACCAAGAATTGTTGAGAAAGAACGGGAAATGTGTGTTTTCCCATTTCTAAAGGTTGTTCTCGACTTTGATCAAAGGTGTCGAAAATAATTAAACGTTAAAGCGTTCAAATATGTAATTTAATACAACGGCTGTGCAATGTGTTACGAGATTGTCTTACGTATCAGTTCATCAACAATTATGGCAACACTACCAAGGGTAAAACTAGTTTAAGAAGTGTGTACCCATAATTGATTAATTTCGAGAAAGTGAAAGCGAAACTCAATTCTATAAGTAGAAAATATTTTGTCATTATAGTTTCACAAAATTGAAATCGACTTTTCTAGCTTTAAATACGAAATTCATTGAAATTTTATTCATTAGTCATTGTTTCATTGAACTATTTTTCCTAGTAAGGTAATATATTGTTATGGCACGTGCGTTAAAAATTTTAAAAATAAAATTGAGCTTAATTTTTTAATACACCATTTCTTTGACGAAGTTTCTAAACCTTTTAACGTAAATACATATAGTATCTTGTTTTACATAAAAAGGTATTAATCTATTTCTTAAATAAATTTGATTGTTTTTTTGATCTATATTATTTTCTAATCCTTATAACAATATTAACGTGAAATTCTGAAATTCTTTTCGAATAAATGATCTAAACAGGACTTTGATCTTGAAATTATCATTTATAGAGGGTTAGTACTAATGATTTTATAGTTTGTGGTAGAACTTAAGTAATACTTCTTCTATTAACATGTGAATAATTATAAAATGAACCTTACTAAAATTTATTAATGATAAATTTCCAGCGCAGATTCTTTAGAAAGTTCCTGGTATGGCGAGTTATTTATAGCGCCTGGTGACGGTGATGATCAAGGAAAATTCCAAAGATTTAGAATTTCTACATATCTTCGATTAGTTATATTTAGATTTATTGAAAATGACATCGTGATCTGCAGGTGTTACAAGCGAAAAGTGAGACTTCCGAAATTAGGCGTAGTAAATATCATGATTAAAAGATTGTGGCATCGAATCGATCAACATTGTGAAATTTGTCAGATTCGGCTTAGGAGTCACAGGTGGAATATTCCAGCTAAAGTGATACAAATGAACGTTCACAGGGAATGTGAGTCGGTTGGATTAAGCGTTGGGTTAAGTTCGGTATTCCTTTGTCACTTTATTTGCGAATCTGAGAATCAGGAATTTTTTTAAAATGCAAATCTATGATTGGCTAAAAAACTGTTAATCTATTGGTTACCTAAGGATCCATATTATTTTCCCGATGTTTTTTTTTCTTCAACAATTATTTCACCGACATCACGTAGGTGACGATTAATATTTTAAGGTAGACTACTAATAATCATCGCCCTACGTAATGTCGGTGAAGGAAAAAATTTCGGGGAAATGATATGGACCCGAAGTTTAATATTATCTGTTTTAAAACTTTGAGCGAAGATATCTCAATAATGCTATTTGTTAATTTAAGCGTTTAAAACTATATTCGAATTTCATTATTATGTAGAGTTCAAAAATAACCTTGAACATTGAAAACAAGTAGCCAACTGAAAGTTCTAATATAATAATGGATACTATACTGGGAAATTAGTATTCAACGAGGAATCTTTGGAAATATTATTTTCGGTAGCAATTTGCAAAAATAGATTCTTGCGTGATGGATGATCGTCTGATGATTACAATACTTTGAAACATGCAGTAAAATTTCGACTATGCATCATGACCAATCTATTCTTAAATTTTTGTGTCCAAGATTTTTAAAACAGTTACAGCTACCTTCGTTATAACGGACCCATATTTTTTACTATAATGGAGTAATTTTCTAGAGTATTTTACTATGCTATATAATGCTATGGTGGATATTTATTATAACGGATGGAATTTTCCATCTTGATCATTCCGTTATAACAAGGGTAAAGTGATAATACACGTAGGTTTTAAAAATATTGATGGTTAGTTGAAAATTAGTTTTAGCCAACTTTTTAATTATCAGTCAGGATTATCTAAATTATGTCAAAAATTAATTAAAACCTTAACTTAAAAATCGAAAAAAAATTAATTACGTAAAACTAAGCTAAATCAAATATAATAGCTGTTTTAGATTTAATTTATAGAAATATTAGAAATGTCATAATTATTGTTGAAATTATTGTTGAGATTAAAAAAATTGAAACCGAATTTCACCTTCAACTCTAACTATGGTAAAATTTTTTGCAAGGAATTTTTTAATTAGAACGAGAAAGGCTGTTTCATAAACAAAATTTCGAATTACATTACGACAGATTTGTAAAATACCCAAATTTTGAAAATTTTGACCACCGATCGAGTCATTTAATAAATAGAATATTTTATTTCATGTGTGCTAACTTAGATATTATTATTCTGATCACTGATATACATATTAGAAAAACGCAATTATTTTCAATAAATAACGATAAGTTTAAAATGGGTTATCTCAATTACACTGAAACTTAAAATATGTTGTGATAGGGTAGACGCGTTTTTAAATTTACCGAAAATTTCTTATATGAATTAGCCAAGTTTCTTAATTTACTAGTTATCCCCCAACAATCAACGTTATAATCTTATAGATACTTAGCACAAATTGATTTCAAAGTCGAGGCAGAACATCTCAATTTATTCTTTTCTTCTTCAGTTAATGAAATATCAATTACTCTTTCAACACCTTGGCTTCCCAATACAACTGGCATACTAAATACACAGTCGTATTCTTTAATGTATGTACTTAACGGTCTTATATGTTTCTGATTCAATACAATACACTGAACCAACATGGACACACATCCAGCAATTCCGAAATATGTCGCACCTTTAAGCTCGATAATTTTGTAGGCTTTACTCGCAATTTCTTTAGCAACAACCTCTTTATCTAAATTTTGAACTTCGGGAAAGTCCAATAAAGGTTTACCTCCAACTTGTGCAGAAGACCATGCAATTATTTGTGAATCGCCATGTTCGCCTAAAACATAGCTGTGAATTGCGTTCTCTGCGACCTATTACGTAACAATTTAGTAATAAATTTATAACTTTCGTATATTAAAATGTCAAACTCCCAATTAGATAGAGATGCTGGTGAAATTAATTTTCTCAAAATTTAACACCAATTTCACCACTTTAATTTCATCAGCATCTTTACTTTCAATCATCAAATAATTACCCCGAGCACTGAAGCCAACTTAAGTCTTAATCTGGCAGAATCCAAAAAAGTTCCCGATCCAAAAACTTGTTTTTCTGGCAAGCCAGATAGTTTTTGAGCAATTCGAGTCAATACATCTACCTTTAAAGATAGGTAAATAAATATTAAGCACTAATACATTTAGACAAAAACTATGATATTGAATTATAGAGGGTATTATTCTCTTACAGGGTTTGCAACTATTAATAAAATTATATTAGGATTAAATGGTTTCATAGATCCTATCACATAATCCAAAATTTTATAATTTCTTTCAATTAGCTGAAAATTGAACAAATCGTTTATTAGACATTCAAACTCTTTAAAGGGATGAAATAAATGACCCCGGAATCATGAAATTGATTATCATGTTGTGTAACCTCACAGTATTCATACCTTCAGAAAAATAAAACTTTGAGAGAAGATATCTCGACAACTACCTGACCAAGTTCAATTAAAAATTTTTTGTTTGAATTCTACGAACCATTTAATTCAAATCAAAAAGCTTTCATCGAATTTGGTTGGGTGTTTCGAGATACCTCTGCTTAAAGTTAAGAAAAAGGAATTTATAATTTACCGCCATATCCCCAAGATCCATGTAAAATCCCGAAACTTAATTGTCGTGTCGTGTGATGTCGAGTTCCAATATTCAGATTATGATTAGTAAATCATAAGTGGGTTTGAATATTGGAACCCTGACATCATACGACGTGACAATTAAGTTTCAGGGGTAGAAATACCATCGCCACGATGATAAATTATAAAATCCAAAGTTTTATTTAAATTCTACGGGTTTGTAACATTCAATTAAAAAAATTTTTGCCGAGTTTGGTTGTCAAGATATCCTCATTGGCATAGCTATTTTGATAGACGTTTTAAAGCTGTGAACAAAGTTATTCATTTGAATTTTACAAATATGTAGAAGAAATTTCATCAAATTTGGTCAGATGTTGTTGAGATATCTTAAAATGTTTTAGAAAAATTGGCGCAACTTTATTTTGATAAAACTTTTGAATTTTTTTTTAACTTTGAACGAATATATATCGGTAACCACCTGACCAAATTCAACGAAAATTTTTTATTTGAATTCGTAGGATTCATAGAATTTAAATAAAAAAATTTTTTAATCGAGATTTGTTAGATGGTTGTTGAGATGTCTTCTCTCAAATGTTTAAAATTTTTTATTTTTAGGAATACCAAGTGTGAGGGACTACATGATGTTAGTTTACTTACTTCAACTCTTGATTCACCAGATTTCTGTTTAGCACCAGCAGTAATAACCACGATGTCGCATTGTCCAGCCTCCTGAAAAGTGCCACCGCGAACTTGAGTGGAAGAAATGAAGTTTGCATCTGAAAGGTCTAGTACTTGTCCTTCAACAGTTTCAGAAACAATATCAACCAAAAGAATCTCAGAGGAAATCTTTTGCAGAAGCAGAGCGAAGGCAATAGAAGCACCAACAGAGCCCGCACCGATAATAGCAACTCGTGAACCATTAACCATTATTATGTTTTTAATTAATGTTAATTATTGAAAGGAATTGCGATTGCGATAGAATTTTTGACGAAATTGAAAAATCATGCCACATTTTATTCCAGTATTCAAATGTCTCTCAATTTTTGATTGGTCAATTGGATGCTATACATATGATGATCGACATGATCGGATGGATTGTAATACGTATTTAGTAATAATATCTCGTGACATTAATTTGTAATACAATATAATCATCCCGTGATCTTGATTATAGAAGCTGGTGAAATTTATTATAGCAGCCAATCAGATTTTAGATAGCCACCAGTTTCACCAGCATCTATAGAACATTTGGTAATGGATGGGCATTTGGAGATGAACTGGCATTTTCTTTGTTCTCCTAATGTATAAAAACTAATAAAATAGAAATTAATAAATTGTTTAAGATATTTAATAAATATTATTTTCATTAGTCGCGGGGTAAACGTAAGATTCCTTTAATAAAGAAAACACATAACTGATTCCTTCCCTGGAATCAGAAGACTTTATTTAGAAAATCTTCATGAGATTGTTATTCCTTGGTGGAATCAAAAAAACCATTCGTTCTAAATATCCTATAAACAACAGTTGATCAAAAGAAGGACGTTCACAGAAAAATCTGTGGCCACGATGCGCTTCCAGTTCTTTTGACCATATAATTCGCTCAATTTTGCAAAATTAGAACAAATTACTTGACCCTTGTTAAATAGCTTATAAAGTATCGCAATGGGTTAAATGACAATGCCTTCGTTACATTGTTCCATAAAGATGACACACTTTCACTGTAATCGAAACAAAGAACTCAAACCCTCACGAAGGCAATCTAAAAGAAGGAGTTTACCTGCTATTTAACAAAATATAACTACCTCGACAGTGACACTATCTTGTCAACAAATTTTATAGGAATTGAGAAAGTGTTTGTTTTGAAAATGTCAACAAATTCTTATTGAAATCGAGAACAGTGTTTATCGTTATTTCAGTATTTTGAAAATGTCTACAAATTCTTATAGGAATTGAGGACCCAGGTATTCTTATGTCGAGCTGCCGGCCAAAAAAGTATGGGCCGTAGTATCTCAAAAATTCCCTATATATCTAGTATTAACAATTGCATACTATAGGTAAAATTTCATTCTGAAAACTTTTACTTAGAGTTCGGAAGTTAGTTATCATAGTAAATCTTTGTGTTATTTACATTTTTTTACAGTTTCTTATGTTTTTCGCGTTTGTTTTGACGATATCCTGTGATTTTATTGGATCCGGATAAGGTCGGAAGTGATCTTCAGCGACCTTCAGCCCGGGATTTTCTTGACATAAAGGTATTCTTCACATGCATGCACGTGTATGGATCCAATCAAATTGCACTGTCAAAAAAATCAAGTCACGTGAATATGAGTTCTCAATTCCAGACCAAATTAGACAATGACAAACCAAGCGTCGCCCAAAAGATCAGTTACATTTAAACTCAATAATGATTCCGATGCTTTATTTTGTATTTGTAATGTTTACATGATTTAGTCTGACAAAATGAAAAATTTTGTAAAATCAAAAGCTTTAGACATTAATAGTATCTGTTTTCTTAGTTTTGTAAAACATGTCAAACCTACAAAATAATAACAGTTTTTTATGGAAAAAAACTTGTCATAAATGCTTAGAGTATATTAACAAATATTACAATTAAAAACATAAAAATAATATTGCTGTTATCTTATTTATTATTAAAGAAAATGCAATCAATATAGAAAATATTATAATGATGATTCATAAAGTTCTTATTAATATGAACAATATTGATGAAAATTTAGAAATTAATTGTAAGTATTATTTTAAACTATCAATATATTTGAATAAATTAATTGATAAGATTCTATTAGAAATTAAACAAGATCAATATAAACAATATCTTGCAAATAAATTTATTAAACTTATTGAGCAGAAAGATGTTTATGAATATATATATTATACCAAATTTATGTTATAAAAAAAACAGACAAAATCATTTTATTATTGGTATAATTATCATAAGGAATTTGTTTCAAAATATAAAAAACATAATGATATTTCTTTTTTTTTTTTGTTTAAGGCTGATGTTATCAGTAGTTATTGCATTTATTTGTGTTTTAGTTAATGCATTACATTGAACTTGTACAAGGTAAGTGTGCAACTAGCCACATGTATAACTTTTGGTTACCTATTTAAATAGTCTGCCCAAAGATTCTACACTAGCTATTATAGTTATAACCTACTAGAAGAATACCTATTTAAACACTCTAATTCTTATACTGCACTCAGATAAGTAATACCTGATTCCTATACACCTAAATGTCATTTAACCCAACTTTTAGCCTTTTCTTTTTGTATATTTGTCAAGCTGTTACATATTCCAGAACATGTCACTTGACTGTAAGGTTCTAGGATACCCTCTTATTAACTACCTACCTATTCTACAAAACATTAACAAGGCTAGCCCTTGTAGAGTTCACCCAGATCCTAGCATCTACTTTACAACATATTTCTAGTACTTATAGTATACTCCTGCTTTGTCTTCAGACTTCCAATTCAGATAGCCTAGAAGGACTGTGATCTGTCCTTGGTATATCATATCGGCCTGATATCCTTTTTCTTCAGTTCAATTTTGGTGGTCTGATTGGTGGTATCTCTCATCTGAGGTTCTTGCCTATCTGGCTTCTCTACATTGGTATCTGTTTCCTAGATCTAACTTTTACAGTGGTACTATTGAAGATCTGTGTTACTACTTTACTTAGGTTTTTCCAAGTAGGTTCTGATTTTTTCAATTTTACAGATTTATACACTTATTTTAGGTTTGCATTACCCAGTACTGGTTTGCATCACCCAGTACTGGTTTGCATCTCTCTGTATAATCAAAGTTACACAGATGCCCTATAACCTGCCAGTTATACTAGTGTGACCATAGTTACAGGTATCTTATCTTAACTGATCAACAGAATACTGTTGTTGTAATATCGTTTATATATTACATAGATGATTATTCAAATTTTCACCATTGGTAGGTTTTGAACTCACAACCTACCACTTGGAGGGTTGACAACTTATCTATTTCACTAAGTCACCACACTCTTTCATAATGATATTTCAAAATAGCAAAATACTAAAACATATTTAATCAAATATAAATATAAAGAACTTTTATTAAATTTTTTTTATTTAATAAATCAATATATAAATATTAAGCTTAATTACAAATAGTTTTATTGATAATTATAATATATTAGTATAACAAAACAAGTTAAGCAATATATTTATAAACATCTAGTACTTAGAACATTAGAATTTTATTAAAGAATTATATTTAAAAAACTTAATAAATTCAAAAATCTAATATAGGTTTTGTATATCAACTTTATACAAACAGATAGTCAAATTCATACAAACAGACAGTCAAATTTATACAAACAAACAGTCAAATTTATACAAATTGAAAGTCAAATTCATATATAATACTTTTAATTAAATTATAATATTTCATGACCTAGTAACTTAAATTATATAAATTTGATACTATTTGATTTAGCAAAATTAAATAAATCAAATAGTACCAAATTTATATAATTTAAGTTACTAGGTCACAAGATATTGTAATTTAATTAAAAATATTATATACAAATTTGACTGTCAATTTGTACAAATTTAACTGTCTGTTTGTACAAATTTGACTATTTGTTTGTATGAAGTTGGTATGCAAAATCTGTAATAAATCAAATATATTTCTGATAAGCTTAAGAAATATTATTATTCTATAAATAATATAATAATTAATATAAATTTATAAAGTTAGTTTTAAATAAAAAAGATTTTAAAATTATATTTAAATATATAATAATCTAGTAAAATAATTAGGTTATTAATTTCTTAAGCAATAAGTTAGGTGTTTAAATTCTATTAATAGTGAAAATTTGAATAATTACTTATATAATATTTGCATTATGGCAACTGTTACCAATGATTGGGTTAGGATACCTGTAATAATGATTACATTATCATGACTAGCAGGTCATAAGACATCTGTATAAGTATAGCATTATACAAAAAAATAAAAATCAACAATTGGGTAGTGCAAATACTAGATAAGTTTTTGTAACTATATAAATCTATTGAAATTGAATAACAAAAAGTTTATTTGAAAAGATCTAAGTAAAAAAGTAATCAGATTTTTGATGGCTCTACTGTAAAAGCTAGTCTAAGAAAACAAATATCAAGATTATAATATTCAAATAGACAAGAACCTCTGGGTTGAAAGTCTTAGAAATACTACTAACTAGGCTATTAAAATGAATCAGAAAAAAAAAAAATTAGGCTAATCTAATATATTAATAAACTGATTATAGTTTTATACAGGTTATCTGAATTAGAAGTCTAGTAAAAAGATAGGAATATACTAAAGTAATAAGGTTATGCTATAAAGTAGATGCTGGAATTTAAGTAAATTCTACAAGAGCATAGCAGTTAAATAATATAATTTTGACTAAAAATATTAGTTTTGTCATAACAATATCAGGTTAGCTATAAAAATAGGTACAAAAGACTTCAGAAAATTTATCTTAAGAATAAAATAGTTTTAAGATTGAGATGATAATCTGAATATTTGAATATGACTCAGTAATATTAATACAGATTGTAGTTTTAAAGAATTTAAAATAAAACATCCAAATAGAAGTATTAAATATAGCAATTAGTAAGGAACCTTTAAGTAAACTTCTTAAATAGATAATATAAAAAAGTTATATGTATAACTAATTGTATACTCTTTTGTAGTAGTTTATTGAATTACATTACTAAAAAAATTATTAATAAAAGTCAAAAGACTAAAAAGGTCATCTTAATATCAAAAAAATAAAATAAAATAAAATAATACTTAATTTGAATAAAATAATGTATATATTAAACTTTTTAATAGGTTTTTTTTAACAAATTATTAAAAAAAGTATTTAATATAATTATAGTTAATGCTATCT